TGATTAGTCAATCAATTCAAATATGATTTGGATAATTTATGAAGTCGAGTATAGAAATTTGTAGCTTATTAAATACAAAATAATAATAGAGTGAATTTAACTTTAAAATTAAATTGAGGTTCTTGACAAATTTGAACATATCTAGATAAAAATGTACATATATCAAAAAAAAAAAAATCCGTGTTGAATCTTCTAATTTACTAAGATTAGATGATATGCCATGGCATAAAAAATATATTAGGAAGACAACAAATGTGGACTCGAAAACTATTGTTCAAAAGCCTGAATATGATGCCCCAGAAAACGTTCTCCCTTTTATAGACCAAACTGAAGTTCTACAGAGGAAGCAATGAATCATTTGTTAATTCAACTAATAGGGAATCATTTTTCCTTGTAAAATGCATTTGACACTTGAGTAAATTTCATATACAAGATACATTGTGCTAAAGTACATAGAAGAGATTGTGACTGCCATCATCAACTCAACCCTCAGAAGACTAAATATACTTCCTGCACCATATTGTGATACCAAATCCCTGAATAAAATTGATATTTTTAACTTCAAAAACCTTTGTATAGGCATTCAATGCAACCTGCTTCGCAGTACAATTTTTGTCCTGTCATCAGTAGACATTCACAATTCGACATTAACAATTGCCTTGTCACAATCGTCTTCTTTGTTCTGCTGGTAGTCTGCTGTTGGTTTATTTAATTCCTTTCTGCATAAACCGGAGAGAGTGATTAGAAAATTTCGAAAGCATCTAAAAAAAAGGCTCAAGACACCATATTCATGAAGCCGGTGGCTAGAGCCTCCTTATCATTATTCATGATCCTTATATTTCAAAATAAAGGAAGGGGGGTCTCCAAGAAAGATATATTTTTCGTTTCAAAAATTAAAAATTGAAACACAAGCAAATGCGTGGACACAAACAAGAATCACTATTTTCATGACCAACTTAAAACAGATCACTTGTCTTCGTCAAAATCAAACAGGTAATATGTAAAATACAAGACCAGTAAGTTATTTTTTTATAAATAGAAGTCAAAAACAGAAAAATATTGTAACCATTTTTCAAAAGCAAAAAAGTTACCAGAAAATCATTCAGAATGCAATTGAAAATGAATAAACATGAGTTTCCAGTTAACTTGATGAAAGAATGCCTTTTTCTTTTTTAATCAAAAAGATGGGGATCAGCATTCCACAGAAACAAGCCCCCCACCCCCACAAGATATTAAATAAAACCATCCCCATTCAGCACACGTTATATGGGAATATGATGAATGCTAACATGGCAGACTGTAAATGAATTGATTTTGACTAGGACAACACAAAATATCATTTCTCTAAGAAAAAAAATACATTTTCTCAGATCTGAGTGACCAGGAAGAAAAAGGTATGTGTTGATAGAGAGACAAAACAAGAATGCATACGCAACCACTAACTGAAATATGCAAAAACAAACCTGAGAAAGTTCCAGATTGAATCATAGTAAAGTATAGCAATGACTCTTCGTTTTCTCTCTCTTAGACCATCTCCTCGCTTAACCACAGGCAACTGTTTAATTCCCTTAGCCTCCATTAGTTGCTTTGCAATTACCAGATCAGTATCTGGATAACAAATCAGAAGTCCACGTTCTCGTCCACGATAACTTATCCCACGAGTACATATAGAGGAAATGGTACACGTATTTACCTGAAACAGAATTCACAATCACTGCAATGCCACAGATAAAAAAGCAGCCACACCCACACACAAAACAAAAGAGAACATAAATTTGTTTGATTTGAAGACACTACGTACATCTGGATTTGACGTATCACCATTGGAAGCATGACCCGGGTTTTCATATAAGCTCCTTCTGATGTCACCATATGTTAAAATTCCTTCCAAATAATCATCAGCATCAACAACAAGTACACAATTCTGTTGACCATCACGCATACACATTAATGCCTCTTTTAGAGTCTGGTTAAGAAAGATCTTCAAATAATTGCTTGACATAGCCTGCAAAACCTGGTTATAGCAGGAAATACAGTTGATGTATATCATCCTAAAAAATTAGGCGCCAAAACAGATACAAACAACATAGGCAACATAAAGGGGGCAAATAATGTGGTTCCTGTTAGGAAAGAAGGCAAGAAACCTTTAAATCTTCCAGCAATATATCTGCATCAATTAGGTCATGGTTACTGGAATTCCCAATCACTGAGAGTTCAACATCTTTCCCTTCCCCAGTTTGTCTCCACGTATCCTCTTCATTTTTGTCTTCAACAGGTGAAAGAACAGAATAACCTCTTGGCAAACCCTTTGTATCTGATGACTCAGATACCTTGGTCTGAGTTGTCACAGAGGGCACCCATATTGCTAATCCAACAGCTCCCTATTGCAAATTGTGTATAAAAACAAGCAAAATATATTAGGAACACATTTAACAAGGCATCAAAATATCCTACCCATCAAGAAAGAAGAATGATGGATAAGTATGAAATGGATCTGTTAATATAACCCATCAGAGGGTCCCTTGCCAAGAGCGAACAAATAATAGTTCACATGATACAAATATCATTAAAAAAATCGCAAATTTCAAAAATCTACGATCCCACAGTTGTTAAAGAAGTACTCAGCAAGGGATCAAGGTATCACTATAGACATGCAGATATATGCCCAACGGCACAAGCTTATTTTTAACCTAATTGGATCGAGGTTAATCAACACTTTAACATCGTAATTAAGATAATAGTTGTCTATTTATTATCCTTTTTGAAGTATTCTTTGCTAATTCATTTATTAAAGGTTAATATATGAGCAAACTGATGGAGACCCTGCCCAATGAAGAGGTTCAAAAATAATTCCATCATGGAGAATACAAAAGGAGTCTGATGTAATGGAAATTGAACTGAGGGAGGGCAAATGCTAAAGGAAGAAAGGAAGAATACATCACAAATATATGTACCCAAACTGTCATGCACAAGAAAGAAAAGGCTATGCTTGGTTCTTTAGCAAAAACTGAGGGAGGGCAAGTAGAATTCGAATTTGGACAGAGCTTGCAAGGGAATACCGGGCCAATACTGGGGGCAGAGGGATTTTACCGGATCATAGAGATGATGTAATAATAGCGTTCTTTGAAGCATATGGCGTGGAAACCAACATGGAGGCTGAATATATCTGAACTTCTTTTATACAACCATCACAGAATCCATACTAATTGGGTGGAAACCGATTCGACTATGGCATTAAAACTCATAACCACGAACACTCAGGGACATGTCCTGTTCAATATCTTGTGGCAGAAATAGAGGTGCTATTGGGGCTATGCTCGATAAGGGTATCACATGTCTTTAGAGGGGCAATTCTGCAGCTGACCACTTGACAAAACGACAGTATACAGGCTCCTAATAGGGCTATTCTTCAGCCCAATGACATAAATGGCCAACTCAGAGGATTGATTCAAACAGGTAGCTTGAAGATTCTGTACATCAGATACAAAAAGCAAGCAGAAGACGTCATAGGTGTCTAATGTGGCATATAGCCTTTCAATGGTTTTATCATGTTATATGTAACGGAAGTAGTACTTCCATAATTAAAGCTTTGTCAAAATCCCTTCTCTTGCTCCTCTATTTGAGCTTTTGAAGGTAAAGTATATATTCCCCTCCCATATGTAATACTATTTCATATCTATAGATATGGGTAGGGGTGTTCCTAACCAACCCCTACCCAACCTAAAATTCCTGCCTGGGTTTTATGGTGTACTGACTAAAAAACCATGTCAAAACTCCACACTCCTACTTTTGAAATGTCCTTTCATAATGGGAAGTTATTGAATACAGATAGGATTATAACCATTTAACTGAGCTTAAATGCTAGAAAAAAAGTCAAAACGAATCTTCTTTCATACAGACATGTCTTGCTGTCAAGAAAAGCTGAAAAGAAGACAGGTTTAGGCTTCGTTTCTAATATTTTAAGTTCAGCCAAACATGCTCAATTTAAAAAAATTAAAGCTACAAATGACAAATACTTATATGCATTGCCTAGGTGGTCTACCGAGTTTAGTAAAAAAAAAAACCTAAATAATATAATCAAATAAATTGGACCCGAGTATGTTAGGACCAGGCAGTTTTCAGCACAAAAACAAATAAATCTCTGAACGAGGCATACCATGAGAGGAAGCAAAATTCTGTAGTCTCTAGTTAGCTCAAAGAGAAGAAGAACTGATGTTAAAGGTACTGAACAAACAGAAGCCAATGTTGCAGCCATCCCAACCTGCAATGTGATACAGTTACAGCATGGTGATGTCAACAATCAAAATGATGGCAGGAGAGAAAAAGGCAGAAAGGCGAAAAAACAGCAGTTTATATAGGAGATATTACCAGCGCATATGCCTGTGGCTGGGCAACAGAAGTATTTCCTGGAATAGCTGAATCAATCAT